ATATTACATAACATATAAGCCCTTCTAAAAATAATAATTGATTATTATATTTATAAATGATAGTTCTTATTCATGATCATGAAAGGAATAAAAAGTGTATTCATTAAAAAAATTACTTATGATTAATGTATTAAAATAATTTAAATAGTCTTCTTTCCTGTATTTTTAAATTAGAATTGCAGAGGCTTTCAAAGATACATAATCTCCACAATAATGATCTATTTCATTATAGGTCAGAGGTTTTAAATTAGAAAATAAGTGATAATTGTTAGGGGGCCATAAACATTTAAGGCTTTAAAATAACATTGAGGAAAAATTGAAATTATTACAAGATTACAATTATAGTTTGTTTTTCTCAACATAATTTTTGATTTTTATATAAAATTTCTAAATTATTCTTTATCTTTCTGTTTACCAATTCATATCAACCAAATTAATAGAATTTTATTCAAATTATACTCATGATATTAAAATGGAAAGAAAATCAAATTAAAAGGGTATATATAGTGCTTCATACTTCAATTTGATATTGACACTCCATCAGTCTGTTTACATAATGAGGTAAATACCAGTCTGGTAGCTGTACAATTTCATTAAGCATACCCACTCTCTTAGAGCGACTCCCCATTCCAAGCATCCACTCTGAGTTCAGATCTTTGAACTTCCCTTCACTTACTGACCTTCCGTTCTCGAAAGACTCCTCTATATCATCTGAAACCTCATAGAGAAGCTATTCCGGCCTATCCTCCATGGGCTTCCAAACTTGGTGATCTTTGAAACATTTTTATGGTTAAAGGCTAGCCTATTTAGGTCAATTTTTTCAAATAATCAGGACCCTAAAGCACTTAATATTTAATAAAAATAACTGAAGCGAATAACCACTTGTAAACTAAGAAATGGTTAAAGAATGAAAAGTTGAGAATGATCTTGAGAGAGTGGGTATGCTCTACTTCTTGAACAGCTTGGGGTCATATATTCGTTTTAAAAAGTATAACAATTCCCTTGAGTTCTAAAAATCACTAATAAGTTTGTTCAGAGGCCTTAAGATTGATGAGTCATCTTAGGGAGCGTTTACTCAAATCAATTTTTGACCATGAACTCTGTGCTATGAATTTTAAAGAAACTAATTTTATAATTTAATAAATTTAATGCTTTATTCAAAATGATTTACATCAAGAGTTAGAAGGCACACTTTATATCAAATCAAATATTGAATCCATATATACCCGTGATACTATATAAATTTAATTTAATTTAATTTAGTAAATTTTCATATAACATATTTTTTATATACCTTTGAGATATTATCAATACTATATTATTCACTTTTAAAAAAGCTTAAAAGTAGAATCACTAAACCAATGCCCACTCTTTTTTTATTTTCAAATTCTCGGTTTGAATTTCTTTTAATGCTTTTGATAGTATCAATCATTAGAAATTTTTTTTTTATTTTTATATTCTAGGCTTATTTGATTTTTTAATAAACTTCATAATCATGCCATAAGGTATATTCCAATTAAATCAAAATTTAAGATTAATATTTTAGTCATCAAAGTAATTTAATATTCAAAGTAAGAAAATATACATTAAAAAAATAATGATACTAAACATCTACTGAGTTTAGAAAGCTCTTTTCCATTTTGAAGCAACTTTCAATTTGGAATCGTAAACTAATATTTCTAAAAATGTGTATTTGTATTAATCTCTTGGTGTCTCCCGTCTTAATCTTATATTTTAGTGATGTTAAATTATAAACAGTTAAATAACAGTTTTGTAATTTTAAAGACATCAATTTACTTTGACTTTCAATTGAAATATTTACTATTTAATACAGCTTTTAGATAAATTTAAGTTATTTCTAAAATTGGTCTTAATTCCTCAAAAAACATCTTTTCAATTTTTTCCCAAGTAAGTTAATTTTGTTACTATATATAATTTTAGCAATTTATATGAGAATTGATTAAGAAACAAGCAGTCTTTATACGAAATGCCAAATTATGCATTTAAGTTTAATGAGAATCTCTGAGTTTAAAAGCTTGCCTTCTAGATATACCAATTTTCTTCGACTAATGATTTTTTGCTTTATACAAAGCAAAGGCCATTAAAAATAATTAAACATGGTCAATTAGTTTTGTTTCATAAAAATTTTTGGATTCCAAATTGACCTTTTGAACAACATGGATTATTTAATAGCTTCATTTTGTTAATAAAAGCAAGAAGCCCTAACAACAATTTAAGTGTATAAATTTCGAGAGTATTAATTTTTCAGGCATTTCCTTATCTGCACTTGTATTAGCACTAGAAAATAAATTGCAAATGTAGAATTATTACTAAATAAAGTCTTATGACTTCAAGTACAGTAGATAATTAAAGTTATAAAGATAGATAATTAGTGCAAAGTGAATTATATGTAATTATAGAATAAACATCATGATAAATAGAAGATTGAAGATATATATATTAATTTAATAACTTCTGTTTATTTAAAGCTTGCAATCATTTGTATTGAATTGGGTTGATTGATAGAGATTAATCACTTGCTTTTAAAGCTTCCTTATAATCTTTCAATAATCTTAATGAATCGCCTTAAAACAAATATATATAATCATACCTTTTATGCGTAAAGAAAAAAAATCCTTTGGATCTACTTATAAAGATTTATCTGCCCAAATTATTGCTTCATTATATTAACCAAGCCTTCTTAAACTCTCCGCTAATATATTTAAATATTATCATACCTTTAGTGCTTAATGAATTGCAATGTTTTGGATTTAATTGCAAAGCTTTATCTGCCCAAATGACTGCTTCATTATATTAACCAAGCATTCTTAAACTGTCCGCTAATACATTAAAATATAATCTACCTTTAGTGCTTAATGAATTGCAATGTTTTGGATTTAATTGCAAAGCTTTATCTGCCCAAATGACTGCTTCATTATATTAACCAACCATTTTTAAAATCTCCGCTAACACATTAAAATAGAATCATACCTTTACTATATAATGAAAAACAATCCTTTGGATCTACTTACAAAGCTTTATCTACCCAAATGATTGCTTCATTATATTAACCAAGCATTCTTAAACTCTCCGCTAATACATTAAATTATGATCATACCTTTACTATATAATGAATAGCAATGCTTTGGATCTACTTATAAAGCTTTATCTGCCCAAATGATTGCTTTATTATATTAACCAAGCATTCTTAAACTCTCCACTAATACATTAAATTATGATCATACCTTTAGTACTTATTAAATTACACTATTTTGGATTTACTTGCAAAGCTTTATCTGCCCAAATGATTGCTTTATTATATTAACCAAGCATTCTTAAGCTCTCCGCTAATGCATTAAAATATAATCTACCTTTACTGTATAATGAATTGCAATTTTTTTGATCTATTTACAAAGCTTTATCGGCGCTAATGATTGCTTCATTATATTAACCAAGCATTCTTAAACTCTCCGCTAATACACTAAAAATTAATCATACCTTTACACCATAATGCAAATTAATGCTTTGAATTAAAATTTAATGCTTTATCTAATATTTTAATAGCCTCATCATATTATTTATCATCCGAATATAGTTTATATCCTAAATTATAAATTTAATACCTTTTTAATATAATTCTTCTGATTTATTTAAATATAAGTTAGATATTTGATAATAACTTAATTCAGTTAATTGTAATTCAGAGATTGATTTTGCTATTTAAGATTAGAATTGATTTATGCATATTTATAATAATTACTTGATTGCAAATTCAAATGATCTGAAATTTACACTTTATTAAACGTAAGAGTTCATTTATTAAGAATTTAAGTTTAAGAATTATTGTGTAGATATTTAATATTTAGATCTTATTCCTTGAATTAATAAATTGAAGTCTTATTATAGTAAATCCATTTATTTAGTCATCTTATTAATTAAATCATCACATTCAATTTCAACTCTTTAAATATGTTCAAACATTTTAGGCAATTCTTCTTAATTTTGAGAATGAGAAACATGAATTCCATTTTTTATACATTATATACAATATAATCTCTCTCCTTTACAAGATTCATCAAAGCATACTAATTTAACATTGTTAGTATGCTCTGAATTTGGGCATTTTATGCTTATATTATCATTTTAATTCATTATTAAATCTTTCTCGATTTCGATTAAAATACTTTTTATATTACAATACTTTTAAAATCTAATTT